TTAAACTGTATTCATAAAGATTCTGTTGTTAACTTGACTCAGAGGACTGATCAAAGCATAGTTTGTTACTGCCACCTTGCTAAAATATTTTAAAGACAGTTTTAATGTTACACTTTTATAGCTACATGTTGCCATTAAGCTATTGAGTCTGTTACTAGTCAATCAAAGATTTTTATTTTGTTTCAATAGCTCCTTGGATAAACTTTTCAGAGATGTCAAGAGAGATGGACTATATGGCATCTTTTCACAGGTGGTGTTCATCAGGGATTTTAGTTAATGAAGCAAGTTTCAGTTATCCATGGTGGATTCTTTGATGCTAACAAAAGTATTCTGAAGACCCCTGCCCTTCCAAAGGCTAGGGCACAGTATGGAAGTGAACCTCACCATAATCCAACGCCTCTTATTATTCATGGAACAAGTAGCCAGGGACACAATGGAGTAGCTCACTAGATCCATTTTACTAAAGAATCAAGTATTTCTTGAAGAAGACCAATTTTACATTTCCAGCAGCCCAAAGCTATACATATCTTGCTCTTCCCACCTCCAAGTACAACAGTAATCACAAACAAATACACAACAGGAACAGGTAAACGATCACATGGAGAGGTAAATACTCAGCTGGCCCATCCTAAGTGCTAACTATGTATTTTTCTTTTCATTTGTTCCACAGTAGCCTATATCCTCTCCATTCATTCCCTCACATATTCATATGTGTATGTATATGTATACACACACACATATAACACATATTAATTACTATTTACACACTAGACACTGTGCTAGGTGGTAATAGGTGTATAGGAGTAATTCAGACATAGTATTTCCCTCAAGAGATTTTTCAATCTAGTGGTGGTGAAAGCCAAGAAAGCCCATAGTTATTTGTCATTCACTGAAGGAAGTGCTGTGATGGGATAGGGGTTGAAGGAGGGCTCAGGGTTCCAGGGAAGGCAGTGGAAGAGAACATACTCCCTTTGAGGAAGGCTTAGGGAAGGCATTTCTGGAAGTAACAGTGTTGAAGCTAAGGCCAGAAGAACTAATGGGTATAACTCAAGTAAAGGTAGAGGATGAAGGGCATGACAGGAACAAAGGCAGCATATTGAGGGTGGGGGAGGGGGGAAGGAGGGGTGAGCCTGGGAAGTGAAGAACAGTGATCTCCCAGGAGACTCGTAAGCTGCAGAGAAAATGGGGTTCTTTTCCTGAGGGCAGTGGGGAGCCTCTGAGGAACTTGAAGCTATGGAGTAACTGGGTCTGATGTCACTCTGGCTACAGATTGTGTTCAATGGAAGGCAAGAGTGCAGCAGGAGAAGTGTTAGGGTCCAATTGCCCTAGAGAAATAAGGTGGTGCCTGGAATAAAAAGGAAGTAGAAAATGAAATCTGGTTAGATTTGTCTCAGCAGTCATGACATAATATCGTAAAATGTATATAACACAGCCAAAAGCAAAAGTGTCAGGTCAGACATTTGGTAGACACTAAAAAAGAAATAAAAATGGGCTTCAGTGAATTGCTAAATGAGTCCGAGTTCCCATGTGCAGTGCAGTGGAAAGCTAACCCTCTCCGACCCTATATTACTTTTCCTGGGAATTCAGCTATGACTGCCCAGAAGATGTGCTGTTTCCAAAGCTTTGTGGTAGGCACTTTGTGTTGTGTGATGGCTACTGGGATATGAACCAGTATGTATGGAATCGCCCAGCAAATGTGTCTGAAGTGATTTGAACAATGGTATTTTGTTCCAAGGCTTGTTAAAAGTTTCTGCAGTATTTTTTTCCCCCATCAACCTTTAAGGTGTCTTACTCATGGCTTCTTATCCTTCTAGACCATTCTTGGTGTGTTAGGAAACCAATACAATTGGGTAGTGATGAGGATAGGTGGTATAGATGAAAAAAATTAAAGGAGATTTATTTTCAATCTGAGAATTAAGCAAGCAGGATTGGTCAAACTTTCTTACAGGAGGAAAAACTAGCAACCAGCCTGTAAGAAATCGGTCACAGTTTAGGGGATATGTTACAAGCAAGATAAATAAAAGTAGTCTAGAGTATCAGGCCAAATTCTCATTTTTCATCTCCGTTTCACGCTCTTCTCTTCCAGCCCAGACTAATCAAAAGAAGCCTCTTCCGCTCACAATTGCTCTGTGTACATTTCCCCCAGATCTGGTATTCACATGAACAACGTGGTTTATTTATATTTCAGCACCAAATTGGAAAGATGACATCATTCATTTACAGTCTTTATCCCATGACATGCCTACTCTCCAACACCTCATTTCAGCAGACACATTTAGGACTGCATATAGCATCTTGTTTAGCTTGTACATTCTTTTATGGGACACAGTTCAAAGGTAGGGAACTTTAGGCTTGTCGCTGGTAAGAAAATAATCTCATAAAATCACAGGAGCTTCCCCAAAGGATAAGGACATTACGATATTTACAATAGCAGTTATATTTGTTCATTTAGGCTCCATCGTTCATTCTTGGGCAAGTCCTTTTCTTATTGACCATAGCAGATCTTATAGCTCCCTTTAGGCCCTCGGAATTCTATTAGAAGACACAATTCCAGATTTATTAGTTCACAAGTTCAAAAGTACAGGCTCCTAACAATACTGGAATTTTACGTGTGAACATTGAATTTCAGAATCTCCTGCACAAGTGTAGGCCATATAAGGGAGAGCTCAGTACTTGATCGGCAATAGTCCCACTGATCTTCTCTTTCTCACAAGACATAACTTGTCCATTGGGTCTTCTGATACTTTAAGTGGCCAAGTCAAGGATAGAAATGCTGTCAGCTGCCAAAGGTTGCTTGGGATTTTTAATTTGTTAGGTAGAGCTTTCCCTCTAATTTTATTGATTTCATCCATATAATGCATTTTTTTTTTTACATCTTCTCTGTGGCTGTTCAAATATTGTACACGTTTCAAAAAATGAAATGAATGAATCATGAGACATCGTTTGGCAGGTAGAATTGGGATGTGAGGTGTTTTCAAAACTTAACAGAATTGAAGCATGTATGGGAAAGCTATTTCTACCTGTTCGGCTGCCTGCCATTTTTGCAGGCAGCATGGCAAAGAGAAAAGTCTAGTGATAAGAATTAGAAGGCCCAGAAAACTTCCATGTTCTATGTCAAGAAAGAGGCTTTGGGAGCTGAAATCTATGCCTTGATTGCAAATGGAGATAGTAATAATTCCTCCCAGGAAAGTTTTGAGGATAAGTTAAATTGTGCATGAAAAGCACTAAGAATATACTACTATGTGAGGTCCAGAGTATTATTATCAGAGTATTATTTGTGTCACATAATAAAATTCCAACTGATTTGGAGGTTTTGCCAGCCTCTGACTTCTAACTCTCTTAAAGTGCTGATGGCTTGTTGTCATCTCCAGCTACCTGTGAGCTTGTGATGGCATTTCATGAGATATCCTCAACTCTCAGTGACCATCTCTGGCTGAAAACAAATGTGCAGCTTGCCCCTAGAAGGGCAGAACCCCTCAAAATCATGGCCCCTTTTTTCCTCCACTCAGTGCAGCAACATGCATGTATATCTACATTTGCTAGACCCTGTGCTAGATTCTGGAGAGAGGCAGATGAAAGAAACAGTTTCAAGTCCACTGACAGATGGACATAAAAATCCATGGCTACAGAGTGGTGGTAAGCCAGAGGTGCACATCACCTGACCTCAAGGGTAGGCTCAGGAAAAGGCTGTGACTTAGCCAGACAGAGAAGTTAGAGGTGAGGCAAGGTGGCTGGGGGAAGTGTCTCAGGCAAAGAAAATATGTATCAAGAAGGAGAAGTGTCTTAGAATAAACCACAGCAATAATAGTAATAAGAGCATTTGACTTTTATTGCAAGCCGTTATGTGGCAGGTCCTGAACTAACACTTGAAGTTCATCATAGGGAGGGAGTTCATCAATGGGATAAAGTTTATCATCATCCCATTTTAAAGTTGAGGAAATTGAGGCTTAGAAATAGTTAACCAAAGAACTTATATGCATGTCCCATGGACATGAAAAATGGTGGGGTGATTGTCTGAGGGAGTTGGAGATGCCAGGTGGGGGAGGGCAAAGGGGGAAAATTGGGACAACTATAATAACATAATCAATAAAATTTTTTTAAAACAGGAATAGTTAACTCAGATAACCAGCAAACAGGTAGAGCAGCACTTGAATCCAGTCTTTATCTCTAAACCCACACTTGCAGGCTTTCTGGGCTAGATATTTTTACCTACCTTTTTCCACAGTCTTATGGCATTTTTCTAGATTCTGTGACCCCATTAAGTCAATTCATTGCTTTTATGTTATTGCCCTGCATAGCAAAACAAAGCAATAAAACAAGTCTACGGCTCCAGGGTTTTAACTATGACATCTTGTTGTCTCCTGTGACAAACACAGAGGGGAATGAATTAGACTGGTCAGCTCTTCTCCATTGATTTTGCTCCTTTTGTCCAATTTTCTCCCAAAACTTTATCAGTTAAAACGTCCATAGCATGTTCTTTCACCAGAAGTCATCATAGCAGCAAAACTCCTTAACATTTTTGTGTTTCGCAGCTTTTGAGTGGATTTCTCTGCTTTGTCTCGTAAGACCATTGTTTGTCTGTGGCTCTGTGTCTCCATCTGGTCCTTTTCCACCTTCTCATTTAGAGCTTCCTTCTCTGGCTTGCTCTAGAGTCTAGGACGTGATTGTTGGCAGTTTGTGATCCTCAGCTTACTCTGGATCTCTGTGATTATTTGATATGCACCTTAGTATTGTCCATTCTTTTCCCCTTTTAAGTCATGTGGGAAAAGTATACCTACATCTACAAATGTAGATCAAAGAACATAGTGGCTTCACGAATGTGACAAGGCTTCTTTCAACAAAGCATGGTACATTCCTCATTAAGTGTCAATTTGACTAAAAATAAAAACTTCTGGGTTAGGAACAAAGGAAAGCCTCTCGGTGCCATAATGATGCCCTGAGTCTCTTTGGCTGGTCCTCTAGCTCCTGATGGAATCTCCCTTGGTTTTCGTTGTGCCCAGACCCAGAACAGAATGAAGCTGATGGCGGACAACTACGACGAGGACCACCACCATTACCACCACCACCACCATCACCACCACCACCGATCTCCTGGGAGGTCGCAACATTCCAATCACAGGCCCTCTCCTGACCAGGTCAGTTTCATTGCCGCTTACCTCCAGGACCCCTTTTACCCTTCGGATATTTTAAGATAAAATAAATAATCCTCAAGAAATAATAAACAGCATAAAGTGATACGTTCTTTGAACTGAAACTAATAGCTTTGGTATTTATTTCCATCACTCAAGGAATCTAAATGTTTTCCTTTCTCCTTCCTCTTTAAGGTTTTGTCTGTTCTTGTTTATGTTATGCATTTTCTTTCCTCCCCTCCTTTCTTCTTTCATAGATATGTCGTCTATTGCTGGCTTGGTATCTAATGGTGGTCTATTTTGGAATGTCTTTTTCAGAGTTTTAAGAGAAAGCACTTTGTTGCCATGAGCTTGGCAACCAGAGAAGTTTTGAGTTTGCTGAGCACTTTTCTGGAAAATTCCTTAGTGATGCAAATTAACAATGGGGTAAAACAACATGAAAAGAAATCAGTTTTGCTTGCATTTTATCCAGAGAAGGCAAAGGGTCTGGTTTATTTGGTTTGGAGCCTATCTTCTCCTTTGACTAAGTAAAGCAAGTGAAAAGATGGATTGACAAAAACAACAATTTCCTGTGATTTTTAACTAGTTTGCATTCACCCACCAAATACAAAAACTATTTATAGCAGTTCATATTAAGACTCTTGAAGGCGACTTTCATGGAAACTATTAAATGCAAACTAGCAGGATGATATAGTCAATATTAGCAGTATATCCACCTTGATTGTACTGTGACCTTTTCTTTGGAATCCTAGTGTAACTTAGACAGCAAATTGCAAGAGGAGTGACAGGACATTTCAAGAGAGGCAGGACATAGGTAATGGAATACAATCATCTGGAAAAGTGTGAATGCCTTTGTTATATATTTCTGAATATGTGAGGGGAGGACTTATTGGAATTGCCTGTGTGAAAAAGGTTTAAATTCTTGGGGGAAGGGGTGCTAAATATGCTCCTAACGGTTTTTTATTTTCAGATGGCTCTGCTTCCGTTTTTACTTCATATCACTGGCATCCCAAAAGGGAAGTTAAGACTCCAGGTCCCCAAGATGGTTTACCAGGAGTACAACTCCAGGGGGAGCCATTTGTACAGTATACAACATAAAAAGGCTCTCTGGAGCGCGCAGTGAGGTTGCTCCAAGCTTGGCCCTACCCTTGTACTGGGAAACTTTTGCCCTCAGAGACCTCAATGCTGCAGAAGCTGTTTATACACAGAACACCTCCAGTTCCTGAGTCCAAGTACAGAAAGACACCAGTTCATGATATTAGCTAAAAATGGCTCTCAATGTGGAGATCAGTGAAGTAGAGAGAAATATTAATTTTATGTCATTGTCTTGTATGACTGCAATTTCAGTTTGATTTGATATTATGTATTCAATTCTCACTCCTCACAACCAACATCCGCCCTTCCTCCGACACACACATGTAATGTAATGTCACATTACAACTGGCATCCTGCTAACCAGATCTCTTCATTTGCATTCGTGGTCCCTACCCTTTGCTCCTTAACCTTCTCCCATCAGGGGTGACTCTAGGGGTGCTGCTAGAAGGCAACCCCAGGCTTTCCCCCGAGAGAGACAGGAACTGTAGAAGCAGAAAGAAGGATTTGCAGCCCCACTGGGGGAGTGGATCACACAAGGATGTGCTGAGATCACAGACAGGCTTGTTTCATCACAGAGACACATATGCTAACATGTCCTCCTACCAACAGGGCACGGGATCAAATTTATCTCCCTTGCAAATGATCTTTCTTACAAAAACTTATCTCTTGCTACTTTCCCAGAGGTCTTTAATCATATACTAGAATGCTTGCCTGCCTGGTTGACCCTCTTATGCTTGTCCACCAACACAAGAGGTTGTCACAGGGCAGAAATCATGGCTCAGGGGCAGTGCCCTTTCCAGAAGAGTTAGCATTCCTTGAGTGTCTGGCTAAGATATGTCATCAGGACTTCTGATACACCTTTCTCATTGCTACTGTTAGGAAGATGGTGATGCCCTTTCACTTTCACATCCCTCATTTCAGTGCCCACTCTAAACAACCCGTGGACATAGAAGCAGATAGTCCCATCCTCTACTGATGAGAAATCTAGACCCTGAGAGGATGGGGGTGAACTCTATCACAGTCCTGCTGCTGGTGATTTGCTCATTCAAATAATACTTGGAGCATATATTCTATGCCAGCCACTATGCCTTCAAGGAGTTTGCTGTCTAGTCCTGGGACAAAAATTCAGGTCATCTGATGTCTCATATAATTCTTATGTGGATTAAATCAGAACATGACAGATAAAAGGTAGTTATAACTTAGGAAGTTACCCTGAAGTGGGCGCACCATGAAAGTCACCTACCCTTGGCCAGGGAGAAAATTTTGTGGTTTTAAATTGGAATCAGCAAATTTGTAATGCTTATTGGTTGCACTCTTTCAGTTAAAGAAGGAGAGTTAAACAAGGAGCCCTGGTATGAGCAGGCTGACTCCAGTGATAGTGAGGCCCTTTTAGACTAGCTGTCCTAGGCCTGGGGAAAGGATGCTCTCCCTTATACTGGAGATTTGAGATTCATAATCATCAGCAACTCATATAAGTATGTGCATTGTTATAAATCCAAGTCCCAGAGTCTAACAGTCTTGAAAGTCTGAGAAGTCTTTCCCAGTTGATTAAAAACTCTGCACATAATTGCATAAGTGTATTTACTAATATGTATGGGGAGGGTTACTTCTCAGGAGAAAATGATAGCCTTATAACTGTATGTGTCAACATTGGAGTCTAAATAACAGGTGATTGAATAAGAAGTGAACTAAATGTCCAGACCGTACCCTTCTTAACTGAATTGATTTACAGGGGAGACATCTCTTCCAGGGTCCCCAGTTCCCTTCCCATCCATCTTCCAGCCCTGACTTTCTGGTGGCCCTGATGGTTGACCAACAATGTCTTCTGGAAGAGGGCCTACAAATGTTGACATTGTCTTCTGAGATTTAATGAGAGGTCAGAACATGAAAATGAAGATACATGAATAATCCGTCCCTTTGCTACTTTTCCAGAGAAACTCATTTTTCCTTAGGAAATTCAATTTAAGTATTGCCAGCCTTGCAGAATTCGATTCTTTTTCCATTTTTTCCCTGCCCCTCTCTCCTTCGCTATGATTTTCCTTTCTCCTCAGGAGAGACTGAATCCAAGGGTTATAAGTCTAGACTAACATTTCCCAAAGTAACTTTTGGAACATTAGTCCCATGAGGATAGTCTCGAAACAAAGATTCAGTGGGCAAAGAACTTTGGGAAAGTGCTGCATATTATAACTCAATCTTGGAGAGTCTTGGTGCAATTAGCAGATCAAAGGATTGAAAAAGTCATATAAGAAAGAAAGCTCTCCAATTTTATTTAATCCAGCATTTCCCAGATTTATTTGATCATAGAATCTTTTTTTCTTTTCTTTTCTAGTAACATCTGTGCTCTCAGAAATACTGTTCTCAGAGTATCAGGTGAAGAAAGAGACTACCCAGTTTAAAACATGGCTGATCTAGTTTCCAGGAGTGTTTTTCATCTTAAGGTGGAGTTTTGAAGCAATTTCCCTTATGCTTTGCATAGCAGAAAATGAGAGACCCCTTTTGTTTATTTCTTGGGATAACTTTATAAAAGATATAACATCTGATAATGTATTATCCCACCCAAAACCCAACAGATCAGAACTAAGGGAGCCATTGTAAGGATGGGAACCCAAGAAAGCAAGGATTATCATGAATATAAAGCCTCCCAGGGACTGAAAAGGAGTGTGGTGAGGGGAAAGGAGGATTTGGAGAACATGTAAGAGAAAGCAGGGGTGTGGCAAGCCAACAGCCAAAAAGGAGCAGTTAATAGTTGGTGCTCTGTGACCCCCTGGATGGCCGTAGTCATTGACTATGTCCAAGTAGAATATTCAGACAAACCCCAGTAATGTCTTTAGGAAATCCTTTAAACCAAGAGGTGGGCACAAGGGCAGACAACAGATATTTCCCATGACACAAGCTGCTGGTGAGCTTTGAGAAACAACAAAGACCAAAGGACAGACGGAACATGTGGAGACACATCAGTGATTTTATTTTTAGTGAAGTCACCAAGACTTATTTTAGAAAAGTTAAGTGCAAGCTCAACTTCTCCTCAGAGCCCTCTGTACCTGTCATCATAAGTACCGTCTGTTATTTTCTTTAAGTAGCATCTTTCCTTGCTTTATCATGATATCCAGCCTTTTTACTTTCCTTTTTCCAGGCATCATATGATTTTTATTGTTCCTGAAAAGGTTATATTTTATTAATCTCCTTCCAGTGGCCCCCAGGTACGAACGGACTCATGAGTAAGAAGAGCACACCGTCAGAGTGAGCTCCACACTCCAGCCAACTCAAAATGCCGAGTCTTGGTCAAGCTGCCCTTTGACGTCCAGGACTCGCATTTCTGTACCTAGGTTTTGGGTTCGGTGTTAGGCCCTTTTAGGCCTTGGACCTAATTGTTTTTGTTGTTATTGTTGTCTGTTTGTTTTGTGGAAAAATTCACTTCCATTTGTTAAAGCATTTGCCATTCTGATTCTAATGCGTGGGGGCCTAAATGGCAAAGAACGTAAACATGTTTTGGCTGGAAACCCCAGAATATGTGGTTTCCCCAGTGCTCACTTCTCTTCTTTCCCCTTCCTTTGAATGGAAATGCTCCCTCACAGGAGTTGGGAAGCTCAAGAAATTTTCACGGCCATGAAGGTTTTTGGATCCTATTTAAGTTAAATTTCACAGTTTACTTCTCGAATTCCCACTTCTAAAGAAGAGCCACAGACTCCAGGAGCATGGAGGCAGAATATTTACTAAATTGATAATGGAAAGATTTGGTCAAATTGTATATGTTATCCATACTGTTTGTTTCATATTGCAAAGCACATTCACGTCTATCTGGCCTATAACAGGCACTCTGTAATGTCTGAGTGAGTTGTTCCCACAGCACCTCTGGGAACTAGGAAGGGCAGATGAAAGTAACTCCATGGTAAAGAAAAAGAATGCCAGAT